CATATCGCCAACGCTGATGACATCGTTCTTATAACACCAAACATTAGCCAACCAGAACGTATGCTTGACGACTTTGATAAAGCCTGTGGAAAGATCGGTTTTCGTCTAAATCTCACAAAACCATATTCACGAGGAACGGATTGGTTTCGTATGCTCCATTCACGCTCAACGAAACGAATATCTCCGGACGCTCCAGTTATGTCTGTATAGGTCGGGAAATCAATATGATAAATTCACTTAGCTCCAGAGTTGAGCGGAGGGAAATGAGCGGCATGGGGAGCTTTCAAGAGCATCGACGATGCAGTGAAGAGAACAAAGAACATCCATGCCTACCCTTTGGACTCAACGGTGCTTTCTGCCTTAACACTTGCGTCAGAAACCTGGTCGCTGCGTAAGCAGTATGAAAGATCACTCATTGTTATCGAACGTGCAGTCGAAAGGATGATGCGAGGAGTATCCCGTTCCACACAAGCACGGGATGTGATCTGAAGCTCCGATCTACGTCAACGATTAAAAATGAAAGATGCTGTTCTGTAAGCCAAACAGTCGAAGATAAGATGGGCCGGACACACAATGCGTATGAATGACAGCCGATGGACAAGAACCATTAGTGACTGGATTCCTCGGGATGTCAAACATACTGCAGGACGACCACCAACCCGATGATCAGAGTTCTTCACGAAGAGCCTAGAAGAGAGATATGATGCTCGACGAGTCCCTGGAGCGAACAGAACTCTCTGGGCTACTTTTGCACCTGAGAGGGAAAAGTGTAAGATTTACTAGTGCCCGCTCGAGTCAATCGATATATATATATATATATGCTTGGGTACTTAGATGGCCAGTGTTCACAAGTTGTGCGCGCTCCAGCAAAATTTCCATCTTTTTGAGTACTGCTAATTGATCTATGAAGTCCCGAGGTCTGACTAGTCAAAGTCTGCTCCGGGCCGTCACCACTACAGACAGTCGCCACCGTTGTGGATCAGAGGAAGATTTGCCACCATGCGCCTAGTTTGAAACTTCTGCGCCAAAATTATTTACCGCCACCCTCTAGAACGTCATATGAACATTGCAATGGGATAATGTGGGAGTGAAAGTCGATGGTCGACTGTTATATCATCTTCGCTTTGCTGATGACATCGTTCTTATAACATCAAACATTAGCCAAGCAGAACGTGTGCTTGACGACTTTGATAAAGCCTGTGGAAAGATTGGTCTTCGACTAAATTTCACACAAACGATGTTTATGAAGAACGAATTGGTTTTGTATGCTTCATTCACACTCAATGGAACAAATATCTCCGAATACTCCAGTTGTGTCTATCTAGGTCGGTAAGTCAACTTGTTGAACGACTCATCTCCAGACCTGAGCAGAAGGAAACGGGCAGCTCGGAGAGCTTTTAAGAGCATCGAGGATGTAGTTAAGAGCAGAAAGAACATCCAACTCCGTGCCCATCTTTTCGACTCAACACGGTACTTCTTGCCCTAACGTATGCGTCAGAAACCTGGCCGATGCGTAAGCAGGATGAAAGGTCGCTCAGCGTTATCGAACGCGAAGTCGAAAGGACGATGCTAGGAACATCCCGTATCACACAAATAAAAGAAGGAATCTGGAGCTCTGTTCTGCGTGAACAATCAAAAATGAAATATACCGTTCTGTACGCAAAATAGTCGTTGGTAAGGTGGGCCGGACACGTAATGCATATAAATGACAACTGATGGGCAACAACCGTTAGTGACTAAGTTCCTCGGGTTGTCAAACGCACTGCAGGAAGACCACCGACCCAATGTTCAGAGTTCTTCACGAATAGAAGACATGGAGTTCAACGAGTCCATAGAGCGAGCAAGAATCCACTGGGCTACTCTTTTCACGCGACAGGGAAAAATGGAAGATTTACTGTCGCCCACTCGAGTCACTCGACGATCAGCGGGGCTACAGGTGGTAGAGGTGATACAGGTGATGGTCCGCAGTCGTTGGTCCTCGCAACGTGTGGCTTTCGTAGTCGTGTCGAGTCGAATGTTCTGGAATGAAGCACTACTCGAATGAGAACCTCACACGGTAGTGCCCCTTTTACACAGGACGGTTTCCTGATTAATATATTTACATATATGTTTTTACGAACTTTGTTTGTTAAGTTGATGTAAGATTTATATAAATTGCTGTTGTTGCAGTTATTGTTGTTGTTGGTGGTGTCGTTGTCGTCGTTCATTGCCTGACGTTCCGGCGATTTCGCTTTCCTGAGAGCCATGCTGCTGCCAGTGGGACTTTTTGGGCTACCTAATCATTAATGCCGAAGTGAAGAAGTGGATAGCAAAGCAGTAGGGTACTGCTCATTACGAGTACGGTGCTGGTTCTATCCTACTCTAGGCTTCCCAAGCATTTCATCTCCTTGTGGTTGCGGAAGTTGGTTCCGGACTTGTCTCGGAAAGAGTGTTCTCTGCAGCCCAATTAATCACACCCTAGCCTGGCTGTCCTAAGACTCCAAGAAAATTCTTCTCGACTAGCATTCTACGACGTTCAGAATTAGATGAAAATTCTCAAGCAGCAGCCAAAACTACACGTAAATGTTGGAAGACTTTCGTGGATGATGGATGCAAGGAAACGAGTCGAATGTGAGGAGTACTGAGATCCGCAGTAGACGTGAAGACGGGTGGTATAAAAAAATAAATAAATACCGAGTTTAAATGAAATTCGGTTTAGAATAGTACTATTTCTATGCGTCCAAGCTTATCTACTACGAATTGCTGCAGGGTGGATTGCCCTTCGAAAAACAGTTCATCATCAAGAATGACCCTCCTGAACAAAAGAGGGCTACCGGGCTAGGTTAACTCATTTGTGCGCTGCTCCACTGAAGAATATTCTGTTCGAGACGATAAGGAAGACACCACATTGCAATGACGAACTGTGACTGTGGACTACCGACAGGAATCATGGGTCCGAAGAAGACGAAGACGTCGAAACTTTAGTAAAATAAATATTTGGCAATAGCCTCGTGTTAGATTATCAGTGAAATGAGACACAATCTGACCATCCGGCTTCGGAAAATTGGTCTCTGACTTGTTTGAGAGCATGGGAGCACCGGCTTTATACATCATTGGGCCAACGGAATCCGCTGCATAGACCAGTTATGCATTCAACCGCCTCTACCGATAAGTGATGAAGTCGAATACATGGCACCTTATTCGGGGATTAATCAACACCGAACACTTTATCTCGTAACCCTCTCCTAATATCTCGTAATTTTTGCCTTAACTGCGATTCTCCGAAATCAATGGGTCCATCAGAAAGGCTATAATAATCATGGTTGAACTCACAACCAGCATTGCACAAAGTGGCATCCTCACCTGTTGCAGACACCAATTCGACTTTCAGTGTAAGCATTTCCTGAGCCATCACGTTTCATTAGCAATGTTCAGAATGTATACCATGGTGTTAATACCATGAAACTATTCATTTTCTTTGCACGAACTCTAATTCTGAAACTTTTCTGTTCAAGCGAAAAGAAGGATGCATGATGAACTAAACACCCAGTCATATTCCATTAGTGTTTTACGCTCTGAATCACCGTAAGGACATGAAAATTCAGCATCGGCCAAGTGAACACTGTTCTATAGTGCTGCTAACGGGTGATTGTTGATGGCAGCACAAGGTAGAAAACTAGCTAGGAGAAGCGCAAAGTAAGAGCCTCTGTGGTGCAGTGTGTAATACATGAGCCTTCGGAAAGGTTAATCGTCGTTCGTTCTGGCCTGGGGTCCACGTTTAGCGAATATCTCATTATCGTTGTGACTATTCTGTTCTATAGTTCTGTTCCTCTGATTCTAGCACTATATTTTTAAGGAATGAGCCCATTGATTAATTATAATATTTCACGGATATCCTTCCATCTTTCATCATCTTAATTACCTAAGCATGGCTAGTCAAAAGGTTACCTGGCGCGTTCCTCGAAATACCAGATGGACGAGGTGAAAGGCGAGCATACCATAAAGTGAAGGTGTGATGAGCAAGCGGACAGCCAGACACTGTTGAGACGGATTCATAAACTCATCCCGTATGTACTAAATATTTTCATGCATTCATGCTTATTTACAATTTTATTCTGCATGCGGACTTAGGAGATTAGCAGCGACTAAGTGAGTGGAAATATGGAAGACAAGCAGTTCCCTCCAACGGATACGGTTCACTTCTGCTTTGGCAAAGCATTGAATGTTAAACTAACTCACGACTACGACAAGATTACGCGGAACCTATTTGCGAAGAAAACAGAAAAAAGTTGCTGATCTCGATAAAGTTTTTGGTTCTAAGCTTCTTAACGTTGGAAGGACCAGGAAAAATTGATAAGTGATAAAAAAAGATAAAGCTGTCGGCGTTGATTAATCCCTGCGCCATGCATTGCACTTCATTAAGTATCGTCGGAGGTGGTTGGGTGCATATCTGGTAGCCTACCGACGTATCGAGCCAGCGCTGCTATCCTCCCATGTAAGCCTGGTACCAATTTCCCGACCCCAGAGGGATGGAAGGCTTGGTAGGCTATGAGCGCGCAGATCGGTTCCACGTGTGTGTTGCAAGGCGGCTCCGACCACTGCGACACGTGATACATCCGAAGAATTCTATTATTTCATGACATATCACGTCATCTAAATAGGAAATATATGACAATCAATGCAGAGAGTGCTAGAATGTGGGCACTAGGGCGGCATAATGAATGACGTTTCAGAATGAAGTTCCATAAAGGATTGACTGCAATTGTGAATTTCTCCCTTCGATAATTTTTGTGAACAATCGTCTCAAACTGTCTATGAAGATGGAGACCGAAGGTGAGTGGAAATGATGTAACCGAATTTTAAAAAGTTATAGATCCATCAATGAAGGGGTTTACTATATGCGTCTCCACTGTCGCTAGCAACATTTGCTGGTGTACAGAATACGAAGGGAATACGAACCGCCAGGGTGATGGAGAGGTTTCTCAGATAACAGGCTTTACGTGCACTGTGTTTCTAAGTGAACGACTCTTGCAGGTAAAACACCTCTGAGCAATGTGATTGTTGGTTGTGCAATGATGCTGCTCTCGATGGTGTGTGCAGTTGCGTACACTATCATTTTGAAGGTGAGGAATCCGTTGGTGATCGCTGACATCAGTTGTGGTATTTTGAAGCAACTCGTCAGCGATCACTGTTACAGCGTAATTATGGGATGTATTGCAGATTTCCTCACAGTTTTTCTTGTTTTCCATTATTTGTTCAGAATATTAGGGAAGCGAACGGCAGCATGACAGATCGTTAACTGTTTATTAATTATAGAAATATAGCGAAACATAATGTTGCTGAGATATTTGCAAAACTACGGACCGCTAGTGTCTGCGATGGGGTCCGAACACGTCACTGCCCTTTCCAGGGGCTAACGCGTTCACCACCACACCATGCGGGTTCTTCGTTTCGCATCTCGAAGAGCTAGCTTTTTATTGATTAGTGCCATCAGTAATCACCCGCCAACGGAATTGATCTAGGAGCACAAATTGGCAATGGACCCTGTTAACAAGTGATTGCTGATGGCACTGATCACAAGAATCACTAGTTGAAAGAGAGGCGAAGCGAAGAGCCCGCCTAATGTGGTGGTGAACGCGTTACCCCTCGGAAAGGATAATAACATATTCGGTCCCTACTGCGGGCACCAGTAGTCCGGAGTTTTGCAAATATCTCGGTAACATTATGGCTATATCACATTCAAATCGACCGTCATTTAATCTCTGCAGTAAAATAATCAACGTGTGGACTATCGGCTCGGATCATCTGCTCTAAAGAAGACGGAGACGTCTAAACGTTAGCCGAATAAAACTTGTTTATGAACCTCGTGTGAGGTCAGCAATTTAAAACATGTGAAAATACAGCCTTATCAAAGTTAGTTACAGATTCTTTGGAAAGGTGACCTTATGAAAATGGCGTCGTACAAGCTCATGTTTGTGTTAGGAATTTTCGATACTATCCAGTGCATTCCTCATTTTATCACCGGCATATTCACCATAAAGCAGTCGGTATTTCATCCAATTCTCAGTAAGGTTAGTCGTCTTGACGGATTTTATAAGATTAAACCTGAGGCCTCAATCGACTAGATCGACCTCACTTTCGTGGTGACACAGTAAAATGCATCAGTGGATAGAAACACGGTTACTGTATGCTTGTTTTGACAGTTAACATTCCTATGGTTACGTCTACAACGCTGTATGTGAGTTATTCCTGAATTTTCATCTCAGAGTTTTCTTGAATCCATCTCCTTGTGCAAAATAAAGGTTGTGGCTGTCATAAAAGGGAAAGCCAACATCTTGAGTGCTAGGAAACGTGAGGACCACATGGTTTCAAGTTTCATGATTTTTTAGCCAACTCGTGGATTAATTTCACAGTCAATTTCGCAGTTCTTACAGTCGCTGGGTGTACTCGCTACACCATCTTATATCGCCTACGTTATGCTCACTATGGTGTTATCGTTCAACAGACTTGTGCTGATCTATTCGCCTCATTTTGAATCCAGGTTTTTCAGCAAACCAGCACTATATGTAAGTGTAATTTTATCCTTCAAACTAAACTTAACATCGACTGTAGTCATACAACAGTCAACAATTCCTTTCACTCACTTCTCCATAAGAAGTTTGGTGCTGATCAGCAAGTTTATGTGCTCCTAATCAGCCCAACCGACGTTGTTAACAGAATATATATTCTATAATAGCTGACGTTTTTTCGGAGCCTGGAAAGAATCATATTGAAACACGGTGTACAGAAATTGGTTCGTAGTCCTGGAAACGACCGTCAATGTACAAAAAAGCTGCCAGAAACTCCATTTGCCCCATTGCCAGAGGCGATGATTGCATGATTTCAATTTATGAAACGGATAGACTACTCTACGTCAGCATAAAAGATTTAAGTGATCGAAATGGAAGAGCTAAAGCTAAATCAAGTACTTCGCTTGGTACAAATACGATACTGGAGAAGATTTTGAAACTAAGTCACGATCTCCTCCCGAGAACCTGAGCCATCAGCTTGCTAAATTCTTGAAGCATTTCGCGTGAGCTCCAGAAACCCAAGGACGGTCTAAGGAAAGCCTTGTACTTATAATGACCTCATCCCATTAGTTCGGCATGATTAACTAATCTGAGATACGAGACAGGCAGATGAGGATTTCTAATCTGCTAGTAAACTTATTTGAAATTACTGCGAACGGCGATGTCTGAGTGTCTCTACGGAAAAAGGAAGGTTTTCATGTGATATTGCGAAGTCCTCTTAATCCTCTACCCAGAAGTGCTGTGTTAAATTCTAACCAGTCTTTGGTCAACGATGCTCTATTAGTGATGCCACCCGTACTAGTATAATTCAATGGCAGTCCTCGCTCACTGCGCTTAATGCTAGTGACAACGTGTTTATATAATGGACCACATTAAAATATAGTAAATAGTAGCACACAAGCCATTCATACCTTTTTATGAATAAAGAAAAGCAATAAAGGATAAAGGATAAAGCTTTCGGTGTCGATCAGTTCCTAAGGGATGCGCCATGCACTAGAGAAGTATCGTTGGAGGTGATTGAATTCATATTTGGCCTATACAATGACTAGCGGTAGCCTACCGATGTATCTAGCCAGTGCTACTATCCTCCCAGAAAAGTCTGGTACCAATTTGCCAACCCCGGAGTGATCGAAGGCTTGGTGGGCCGTGGGCGCCGGGATCGATTTTACGTGTGTGTCGCAGAGGCGCCTCCAACCACTGCGCCACACCTGCCATTATGAAGAAAAGTATTCTTTAAAATCTTATAGCGTTCACAAGTTTTAAAGCCCTCTAGTTATCGAAAAAACACTTTCTGTAGTTTTCGATATTATTGTTGAGCAAATGCGAGGTGTTGCTTTATTCTTTACTCCGTTAAAGCTGACGTTTCGGCGGATTTCGCCTTCTTCAGAGCCTGGAAGGGTATACTAATACTACGTCAAACACTTCAGTAATGCATGCAGAAAGATGAAAATCTAAATCGCAATCAAACGATCAACAGCTTCTCCAAAAAACTCACCGTTTATTACGTGCTTTCCACTGAGGAAGAACAGCTGATAAGAGTCGCACATGCTCGGTAAATGCACTATTTCACGTGTTGAGGTCTCTGCTATGTCGCTCTCGAAACAACTAGAGCAACTGCTATTTCTAGCTGTCAGTATAACACGGCTAACATTTAAGGGCTGGCTAATAGCCTTGCAAGAAAAAAGTTTATCGACTGACTCTGCAGAGGTTCACATGCTCTTCCAGTTCTGTTGATTCAGAGACCTAAGGGAACATCCTAGCATTAATCACATGCTTTCTCTTCTGCTTTTTTACTAAGTATATGACATGGACAAGAGTCGTTCTAAAAGATTAATACTACTGTATTTGTCTTTTATTCCCACAAAAAGCAAATGAGCTTGGAAATACTGCACATAATCTGAGAGCGGCTACGACTACGCGCTTGAGAAAAAAGGCGAAACGAAAGATCCACATGGTATGGCGGTGAAGAGGTCAGCCCCCGACAAGGGTAATAGCGTGTTCAATCCGCACCGCAGATACCTGCGCTCTGGAATTTTGGAAATATCTTTGTGTTTATATTCCACATCATAATACCCTGCCTTGAAAAAAGAAGAGGCAGTGAATGAAAAGTGATTACACTGCACACTGTGTTCGCGCTGAATGTATTTAATTCCAGTTGTGGATAGGATCTGTGGTGGTCGTGTGGTTAGCGTACGCTATATGCCTGTCTACTCCATGGGTTACCATCAACTACGTTCCTGAACGGCACGTTATTTCTTTCAGGGACTTAGACGTCACCGTGTTAATCTGTCTTTGCAAGGTATTATTGCTGCAAATGTTTTTCAGGTATTCATGGAACTACGACTATTCTCTGGATTTTTCACATTGGGTTCAAAGATCTGAGATATTAGTCGAATTCGGCAACATTTTTCTGTCAATAGTCTTCCATGCACTCACCATTGGTATTCTTTACAGAACTGTGAGCTCTTACTGATATATTTGCGTGTTCTACATTTCGGTTAATAGTCCTTAGCTGATACGGTGACAGTTATAACTGAGCACATGGAGTGAGCGTGTACTTGTCGAGAAGGTTTCGCGGAAATAATCCTTCATTGCAATACTGAGCACGACGCCAAGTACAGAGCTTGGCACTCTCCGTCCGAACATAGGAAGTTGTATTTTGAAACAGACAGCAATTATTATCCTAGCTCAGAGATCTCATCACTAACACCAAGCACGGTTTCTAGCGGGCTGTATTTATCTTTTCACACTTTTTGTTTTCAGTTGTAAATTTATGTTTAATGTGTTGTTTTCTTGTTCAGCAATCGCGAGGCTGTTATACAGCACACATTTACTTGCATACAAAAACACACAATACAATACTTTTGAAACCGGCCGTCATTTAACCTTGATAATAAAATAATCAACATTTGTTTACATTGTTGCGCTCATACGAGGTTGATAAGAGGTGTTTATTCGGCCAACGTTTCGACTTCTTCGTCTTCATCAGAGCCGGCGATCCTTGTCGATGGTCCATAGTTGTTCCTCTTCTCGATGTGGCATCCTCTTCTCTAATCGAATCGAATCTTCCTCAGCTGAGAATCTCGAATCAGCCGAGATAAATATGATGCTTCACTACTCCCTATTGGAAGCAAAACCTACTAGGCCACTCTTATGCGGGATTGGGGAAAATGGAAGATTTACTGGTGTTGGCCCGAGTGACTCGATGATGAACAGGACTTGTAAAACTAGGTAGTCGAGTTCAGCCCAAAAGTCTCCTCTCATTTAAAACCCATTACAGCATTTGATGAAGGTCCCAGGCACGTAGAGCATTGAAGCTCAGTGTTCAAGTGTTCGATTAACATCCATCGATTATAAAAGTCAAACATGTATCGAGCTATCACCGTACAGCTCTACTGTTAAAGGAGCAAGGAGGAATGCCATCTCTCTGATCTCACACAGTATCTCAGACTAATCTATTAACGTGGCAGAGACAAATTACCTACTCATGTGAGCTCCGTTGGATTGGTCTCCACGAATAATGAGAGTAAGTGGAAGACTCAGAGATAAAGCTGTCTGAAGAAGCCAATTCTGACGGTTGGCCAATTTGATCACTAGCTACTATTAAGAAAAAACATAAAAACAACGTCGCGTGTGCAAACCAAGAAAACAGCAAGCTATTGCTTAGAATTTTTCCACATATTCGAAATACATTTTGGCAAATTACTTTTTTACAAATAACCTATAAAGCCTATATTTTTTGTAACTACGAGTCTAAAGCAAGGATTGCATGTAGGTAAGAATTGCAGTTTGTGCGTGGAGATTATGAACTCTGTATGGGATGGGTAAATTGTGTGCTACCACAAACACTTTTGTTAGACATTAGTATAAAATAAGGATGAAGCATAAAGCTCTCGGCGTTGATGCATCCCATAGGGATGCGCCGTGCATTCGACTTTATTAAACATCGTTTGGAGGTGATCGAATGCATATCTAGTCTTTACAATAACTCGCAGTAGCCTGCCAATGTATCGAGCCAGTGCTGCTATCCTTCCAGACAAGTCTGGTACCAATTTGCCGACCCCGGAGGGATGGAAGACTTGGTTAGCCACGAGCTCAGGGATCGATTCCACGTGTGTGTTGCAGGGCGGGATAGGATAATTGTATATTATAAAATAAATTTTCTCTCGCACAACTTTCAAGACATAAGTAAACGCTTGTGATAATAAAACTTTACTACCGTTTTTTTGAAACAAACAACATTGAAGTAAACCAAAGAACGCGTAGTCTGAACAAGTCTCCTCGGCGGTTTGTTTTATCGAGGCAAGAAGATGTCTCTGTAGCGCCATATACTTCAGTTGTCCCTTCCTGCAAGATAAACTCGTCGGAAAAAGATTTTTTGGAAAATATTAAGTGCAGAGAACAGGTCATCACAAACCAATCCTGAATCAACATCTGTGTTAAACAAGCCATCGGTTGAAAGAAAAAAGTGCGCTAGCAAGGCTTTGTGTTGCAAAACAAATCAACAAACAAAATGGTCTTAGTCATCATTATAAATTCATTTATATGATCTTATAGACTGTCGTTTTTCATTAATAATCTTGAGCTGGTGCCAGGTAAGTATAGGTCTTTGTTGTCGTTGTTGTTGTTGTTGTTGCTGTCGTTGCTACCCGTGCTGTTGGTCGACGGCCATCTTGATAAATACAACACAACGTTGCTGAGATATTTGCTAAACTCTGGACCGCAGGTGTCTATGGTGGAGAACGAACGCGCTTTTGTCCTTTCCGGGGAGTAACGCGTTCACCACCATACCATACGGGTCCTTCGTTTATTTCGCTTAGTACCGTGTCGCAAAATTATAGTAGGCAGAAAATAAAAAGGTATAACATTGTGATTTCAACTGCAGTCGCAGCTTAACTGGGTTCAATGCCGATTTGGGCGCCCCAAATCAATCCCGCTGACGGGTGATTGCTGTAGCAAGGATCGATAGAAATAGCTTGTGTTTTCTCGCCTTGGCCAGTCCGATGACGTCATACTCATCCTTTTTTCTCGAATGATCAAGTCTTCCATCTAGGACTCAGGTGTAAGTGTGCGTGCATTGTAGGTACCTTAGTGCTTTGTGATTGAGGCATCCTAGAGTGGCCCTGAGATTTTAGCAACCTTCTCTACTCGTTCTGACTAATACTGCCGAATCGAGGCTCCTTCGAGGCCAGGAAAATGAGGCTCGTTGGGCATACTTGCGTCTAAGGAAACCAAGGCTTGCTTTTGGACTGCGGTTAATCCCTTATCCGCCACCTGGGAACGCTCAATGTTGCCTTGCGACTAACCAGCATGAGATCCCTCTGTGATGGAGATCCGTGGTCAGTACCACTATATACGCAAAAGTGAGCGTCTATTGCAGAGCACGGTGGCTCGAGATGTTCTGCAATAGGCACGTAGTCGTTGTCTCGATGCTGCGTCCAGGATCGCCAAGCCTTCCATCCCTCCCGCATCGGCGGATTGTCCCCAAACTTGTCTGGGAGAAAAGTAGCATTGACTTGATATATCGGTGGGCCACAGCAAGTCATTACATAGGCCATATGTACATCCAGCCACTTCTAACGGTACCTGATGAAGTCTAATGTATGACGGATCTCTTACGGATTGATCAACGCCGAACACATTATTCCTTTATCCATTGTACACCAAAACCCTGTAAGTGTAACCACTTGCTGAGCACAATTTGAACAAATCCAAAAGTTTTTTCTCTAATATACCAAAAGAAGAAAACCTTTAAGAAAAATCTGTGGGTTGGTATATTTCTCCAGATCTGTATATAGCTGCAGTTTCTACTAAAAACTTCAATTAGCGGTCCAACCTTAGGTAACCCTTCTCGGTAGTCATCTATTGCGCTGCCGGCAAAATGGACTTTAGCAAAGAAGCCTCAAAGCTACTTCATATTATAAGTTTGATCAATAAAATAGTCATACATGGCATGCAATATCAAGAGCGGAACTCTAAAAACACTTGAACTGTGGCAGTTTAATGATTCCAATCTTAAAACAACATTCGTCCCCGAAGCCTGGCTACCGCGTAAATGGCGCCTTATTTCATGTCGATGGCCGCCGAATTGCTACGCATCTACCACGATTTAAGCGCAACACATAATGATTTGGGAGATTGAGAACAATGCAACGTTGTAGAAAAAGCTTTGCTTTATCGATCTAGAGCTATATCAGTTACTACTTGCTCCAAGTGACTATTAATCAAAAGCTGAACTTTATTTACTTTACATAATGGACTGTTTCCGTCCTCTAATAACCTCATTTGCTGCGTCGGTCCACCAGATATAATTACTTTTCCAAAGTGCTACCTTCGTTTTTTAATCCTTTTAAAATTTAGTTTTTCAAGAAGTCTAGCTTTTGTCTTGGTGGAACAAGAAAACTGGTCCTTGTAGGCTAACATCTCGAAATTTCGATAGTTTTTGTTTGCTTATATTAGCTTGTTCAGAAATAAATGAGAGTTTTTAACTATGTTGTTTAAAATGTCGTAACTTGCTTCAAATAAAGGTTTATTAACATGGTGTGGTGGTGGGCGCGTTAGCGCCCGGAAAGGGTAATAGTGCGTTCGTTCTCCACCGCAAACACCTGGGGTCCGGAGTTTCGCAAATATCTCAGCATCACTGCGGTTGTATCACAAGTAAAACTCTGCCATGAAAAATTGGAATAGGCACTAAATAAAAAAGTTACTATGTTGGCAGTGTTGAATCACAGACACTACCTTCACCACAAACGTCATTATTGTTTCAAGCCGTCTCTGCTGCACTACTACCGAGTTTGAACTCATAAAAGAAATCTTAACCGTTTTATTTACTGCCTACTATTTTTAATGGCAGAGTATAATAGGAGATATAACTTTTTTGTTTATTTTTAATAATTTAATTTAATAAGGAGATAATTTTTTTTCTTAACCGTTTTCTTTCGAAATATTTCGCATTATGCCCTGCCATTAAAAGTAGTAGGCAGTAAATAAAACGGTTAAGATTGTGATTATAATTAAGGCCTCAGCTTAACTGGGTTCATTGTCGATTTGGGCTCCCCAGATTAGTCCCGCTGACGGGTGATTGCTGACGGCAGAGATCGATAGAAGTAGCTGAGACACAGGCGAAACGAAGGACCGGCATGGTGTGGTGGTGAACGCGTTGCTCTCTGGAAAGGACAATAGCGCGTTCGTTCCCCACCGCCGACACCTGCGGTCCGGAGTTTTGCAAATATCTCAGCATCGTTGAAGTTATAAAAGAAAATTTGACGAAAATTGGTTCTTGACATCTGAAATTGCAAAGCTCAAAAATGGTTTAGAAAAAATTAACTTTTGAGAAATTATAAAGAAGCGGTTAGAAAGAGCACAAATCAGCTTTTTAATGGTGTATAATATTGCAAGGTGTAATGAATATCTTACTGGTAACAAATACATCAAAACAATATGCAGATCAATCCCTGAGGGGTGTGCCATGCATTCGACTTCATTACGCATCGTTGGAGGTGATTGAATGCATATCCGGCTTTACAATGATTGTGTGTCGCAGTGGTACCTCCAACCACTGCGGAACAAGTGTCCTTTGTTGTTATTATCTTATTCTTTAATAACTCAAAGAAACGACTTTCTGTGAACCTTGCCGTAAATAATCCCACTCTTAATACAACTGCTCTAAGGAAGGCAAAATGGATGAGACGTAAACCATCGAACAACAACAACAACAACAGGCAACAAAAAGGAACAGGTTCAACATAAGTAGCAAAACGTTTCCAAAATGCTGAAAACACCTTGGTTGTATCGTGAGCCGTAGTAATATGTAGTAAACAGTGGCGCACATATTAAAGTGATAGAGCAAAGCGTCTTCTACAGGTCCTTCGTGTTGTTAAGCCTTGAAGAACACCAGTTCTAAACAATCGTCTGCTATCGAAAAATTAGTACCGCCCACTAAGCAGTTTTTTGAGTATTGGAAGACTCATATAATGACTGTAACTGACGTGAAATTCGACGACGTACTTCGGTTCTCGCTGTCATAGGAAATAAAGCGTGACCTTTGTTAAAAGGTCTGAGGATTACCATTTGCTATAGGAGACTATCTACACCGATTCGGGACTTTTGTTATTTCAGCGAAGGCGATTCCGTGTGCGTTCGTCTAACGGAGCCGAAATGAAAGTGTTCATTCAAGCGTTCATAGTCACTATCTACTGCATCATTCTAAATCTACTATGGCACAATTCGAAGGTAAGGCAACAGTGGGAGAGTTATCTGTTCATATAACATTTCTACATGGCGAGTAGTGATGAGCCGTCGGCAAGCTCCGCTTTTCATAAACAGTATTTTTATTGTAGGAAAAATAAGTTGCACACGGTAAGGAAGGATAAGGGGAGAAAACACGAGGGAATCTTGAAATCGAGCAAACTCTGTGAATAATCGGTCTGTCAGTGACACAACCCGATGACGGACAAATTGTGGTGACAAGCGAACCGCGGATCGACGTTGAATAGAAACCTCGTTTTGTGCAGTGCCAAAGGGCTCAAACCAGGACGGATGCATCAACTACTCTGGTCATTAGTAACCGTCTCCTACAATATTTGCTCCATTTATATGGATAGGCAAGGAATTTCTGAGAACTCGTGTATTTTTAACTCTTTTCCAGGAGTGATTTTCTGTTGGCCTCAAAATGCAACTAAGTTTTCTTGTTGAGTAGACACGTTAGGACAAATCTTTACCCAACAGTGGTTAACACTTAGCCCGAGTTCGCCTTCTTCAAAGCTGGAAATTTTAATTTAATACGCAATCTATTCACGTGTAAACTCTAACTGTGTGAACTATAGCTGTATGATTTTAAGACCGACCGTCATTAAACCTCGGTAGTAAAATAGTCAGCATGTATTTACATTGTTGAGTTTATCATATCAAGAGCAACCGCCCTCTAGAAAAGAGCATCGCGAGGTGAGTATGGCTCACTCGAGATGCTCCGCTGAGGAAGACCCGCTTCGATGCGAGACAAAGAGGCCACATCGAAAAGAGGAACAACTATGGACCATCGACAAGGATCGTCGACTCTGATGAAGACGACGACGTCGAAAGGTTGGCCAAATAGGCATCTGTGTTAACTTCGTGTAAGCTCATCAATGTATATTTGTATTTATACAGCGCAGTAATCTTACTACCTTTTTAACAAGCTCTGTGTTATTTTAAGGTTACAAAAGGAAGGGAATTGCCACAGATCCTCTGGATGAGCAAACTCATCACAAAAGCTGTTTTTGTGTCCAAAATTTTGATAGCGAAAAGATTTTTTTTTGGACGGCATCTCGTGCAGAATTTCTGCCCGAAAGAAGCTATCGGTTTACGGTAAAAATAAGCATCAGAGAAAATGTTAATTCAAACTGAAGCGCACTATTCAATTAGGCCCACATCATGTATACATTGAGATCAAGGCATGTAGTTGTCTAAATATGGATGAGCAGTGTGACGAGGTTGCTAGTTCTCGTGTTTTGCAGCTGGTGGTCAGAAGCAGAATTTCAAAATGACCTCTCTCATCGCTCCGATAGTATAACCGTAAAGAGTAACTGCTTGTAGGAAGTGTGAAAGGCTACCTCTATGATTCCTACTTTGATCGTTGCTGTAATCAGCTCCACGTGCCATACAGCAATAGGTGCTCCACCTGCTTCTATTTACTGTCCCTGGGTCGTCTGTTTAAGTCCTTTCTGTGTGCGCTACGTTGAATGGTCATGGATCTGCTCAAAATAGAGTGGAACGCTCTGTAGAACTCACCACAGACTGATAAGAGATATGTTTACTATATTGCTAACTATAGCTCCATCTATTCTTTTTTTTTACAGAGAAGTTAAAACAAGCTTATTATGAAGAAACTTTATCCGACTAGCGTTTCGGCTCCTTGGTCTTCTTCAGAGCCGGATTGACCCAAGTCACTCATCCAGCGCCAGTCTTCCGATGTAGATCTTCGTTATCGCATCGAGTCGAAAATTTAGTGCAGCATTAGAGAAGCAAACTCATTCGGCAGACAGTCTGTGGATAAGCGATAATCGAAGTCGACTGTAGACAACGTGAGCGGCTTATTCGGATAAGCCTGGCTCTGAAGAAGGTATGGACGTCGAAACGTTAGCTGGGTAAAATTTGACAACAATCTAGTTTGCTTATCAGCGAAAAAAGGAAAGATTATTCGTGCTAATGTTAACTGAAAGTCGGTTTACAGCAATATATCTTCATCTGTTGCCTATCCAAAATTTGTGTTGTTTCCCGAGTCGTCAGTATAATGAACATGGAACGACTCCGAAAGTGGGGCTCCCTGTTGTTGCAAAAACATGCTGCATAGCCATTTTTCTCTCAGTTTCTCAACTTTCCACTCAACTGTCGCCTTTAGTGTTTTACTATCACTGCATTTACATACATATTGTAGTAATCCAATACCTAGTATGAGAGACATGAGATAGTTTTCTAGGCACAGGGCAAAATGAAAAGAATTCACTTAAATATAGAACCTGCTACTCACCAACGATTGTCTTCAGCTTGTTCTACCAGCAAATATTTGGTCTTACATGGCCTTGAATATTATGTGGATTTTGAGTGCCGGCATCAATCCGCTCATATACTTCGTTGTAAACAGGTTTCTTTTTCTGTTCTCAATAGTTAATGGTAAGTTTTTGAATTTCGATACTCAGCGAATTATACGAATAGATGGCTAAGAAAGATAGAAGGGTAAAGTGTTATATGTTGATTAATCCCAAAAAGATACGCCATTCACTTGACTTCATCAAGCACCATAGAGGTGACTGAATGAATATTTGGCTCACACAGTGACTTGGGATAGCCTACGGATCTGCCATCTCATTGCTACTATTCTCTCAACAAGGACAAGTCTGGTATTAAATAGCCGACTTCGGAGGAAAGGAGGAGTTGGTAAGCCCGGGAAGCTAGAACTAGTCAGAGGCCGATCCATTGTTTTGCAGACCACCTCTAGCCACTGATACCGTTACCTGCGAGACGAAATAAGTCGAGTAATGAATAGGTAGGAAAGATGAACAGGAGCAGGCAGATAAAAAAAATGGTCCAAAAAGATCATGAAAATAGTGTTTCAGCTTATTTGATTATTTTCAGAGTTATTCGAGAGCAGATGACTGGACAGCGCTCCAACGTTTCCTCCATAATCCTTTTCAAGCGGCGAAAGCTCTCTTCGGTCAATAAAAAACATTGACGAAATTTTTAAAAACTCCAATAAATGAACTAAACCGCTCCACTCTCTTAAACAATATGATTGCATTACTGTAGCAGTTTTCCTCATTGGTGTTTCTTTCTATGTTTTTCAGATACCATTTCTATAGTGGTTGCTAGCGGAGATTAGGTGTTGGAGTTAGTTTTCGGCACCTTATGATCACTAGCTTTGAGTAGGATGCTCGATTTCGCAGAAGTTGCCACGGGAGACTTTTTCGTGCTTGTCGCAGAGCAATATCTCAAACATGGGTAGTTTAACCATTTATAACAATAATAATGCAAGAATAACGATATGTGAACATCAGTACAGTAAAGACTGCAATCTGGCATCATGAACACTAAGTGAGGGTAAAGTTGGTAAGTAGCTTTGCTATAAGCTAGTGGAACAATTCTATGCGCATTCGGAATACACCAGTGGTGTCACAAGAGGCAGGCTCATTAAGGGACTCATGTAAGGCCGTAATAACTGACTCACGATAACGATATGATAGGGTTACACACTACAGGTATGCTTCTGATCTTCTGATGAGATTAACACGTTAAGGAATACATGTGAGATTGCGATCACATTGCGATGAGGTTAACATATTAAGGGATGCATGTAGCCTTATGATGTCGTTCTGATGAGGTTAATATGTTGACGGACACATGTAAGCTTATTATTATTATTAAGTTTATATCGCGATGGGGTTATGTGTTAGCTTATGAGTAAATTACCATGAGGTTAATGTACAATAGTGACCGCGAACAATAATGGTTAACACCTTGGATTATTTACATGGCATAACGAACAAGATGAACAGGGGCCCTAACGAGACGAATAGGATAGTGACTCACCGGCTATTTGAATGTCTTCTGGAGGAGGTAGGGTTTTGGTACAGGTCTAAAAGTTTTACCGAAGACATTCGTCGACTTCCGCTTCCAGCTCCCTCATGACCAGATCAGATGACGGGAGGACGGTTTGGCAAACAACTTCATGCCCTTCCTGTTATTGTACGTGCGAAGGTTCCGAACAGAAATAACACAAAAACAGGTTCCGATTGCGCAAAGAGCTTTTCATAACAAAGACTGTTCCTGAAAAGAAAAGTTCTTCAAAATAAAATGAAAACATTTACATGCTTCAAGATTGCAAAGCGATATGAGGAGCGGCGAATGTGGTTACTGCAGGAACATACGATAAATGTAAGAATAGTAACTATTCTGGCAATAGTTTCCATACTTTCTCATTGATTTCTAGTCCTCGTACAGGAGCTTGAAAATTGCTCGCGAAATAGACAAATAAGCAGATATGTTTAAGCATTTAAAAAAAGGATAGAGCTCTCGGTGTTGAGCAATCCCTGAGGGTGCGCCATGCATTCAGCTTCATTAAGTATCCCTGGAGGTGATTGAATGCATATCTGGCTTTTACAATGACTCGCAGTAGCCTATCGATGTATCGAGGCAGTGTTGCTATCTTGCCAGACAAGTCTGGTACTAATTTGCCGACCCTGGAGTGATGAAGGGCTTGTTGAGCCATGGGAGCCTCGATCGATTCCAAGTGTGTGTCGCAGTGGTGCCTCCAACCACTGCACTACACCCTCCGTTGAAGCATTTAAAGTCACCATTCGTCTGTACATCTACACTCCCTGTTGACCGCTCGAAGAAATAAATTTGAACAGATCCAATTTTCTTCACGTTGGGATAATGTTCTACTAGCACAGAATTTTACTAGTAAAAGGAACGTCCCAAAAAAATAGTTTACTTTGCCGTTTTCAAATTTCAATGAATCGAGCATCTTTCCATTCCTAAGAAATTAGATGAAAATGAAGAGTTAAGCATCAACGTTAGTTATTGCATCGAAGGTCGGAAAGCAGTAACCTGACAACGTTGGCTACTGCACAGGTTCTACTCTGTTCCTTGCTACCAGTACAAATGGAGAATCCAAAAACGTTAGTGAATCTGACAGTGAAAGCGAAGAACGAAGTTGGCGATGAGTGGCGAAACAATGTAATGTTTCCCAGTTCGCTGTGGAACCTAAACGGTGGTCAACCTGCTGTTGGTCAACAAAATTTGCTTTAATGCACAGAATCAGTGTATATTACTTAATTGGACAATTACGCTAACACGTGGTTGATAGGAAAAACCTTATTCGGTAAACGTTCCGATGTACTAGTATTCCTCATCGACGACGATTAGAGTCGACTGTCCATGGCCGTTCGTCCTTCCGATATGAGTGTTCCTAGTCGCATCGAATACGATCCTCCGAGTGGGAGCACCACACGTGTGAAATAATCTCACTTTGCTGTGTACTTTTATTCAGGACGGGTTTATATATCGAATGCTTAGCAATTACAACTTGTTTTCCCTAGGCAAAAATTGCCATTCTCCGAAGCAAACGAGAAAATATGTTCGCCAAGTGGAAGAAGAACGCGGCGAAGGAACACCACTGTGATCAGTATTTGGAGGACCGCCTCTCCAAAAATAGTGAGTGGGTCTGCTTTGATATGATAGCTCTGTTAAGTCTAATGCTGAACTTTGCAGAAAAAATTCGAAGATCTTTTGAGTAAGCTGCATAACACCGCTTCAAGATTGTGTAAAAACACAACTATTACTTATTTTATTTATTTTAGTTATTTATTTATATGATCCGTCTTTACGTCTATTGTGCGAATCCCTGCACTTCTTACACCCGATTCGTTTCCTGGATGATTTGATGATAATCCACGATGATCTTCCAATTTTTACGGCTGGATTCGGTTGCTGCTTGAGGATTTTCATTTCATCTTGAATGCCGTGAAATGCTGGTCGAGCGATTCTCCCTGGAGTTCTGGGATAGCCGGGTTGGAGCGTTCCCAGTTGCATTGCAGAGAGCGTTTTTTTTCCGGACAAGTCCGGTATCAATTTTTCGTTGGTGAAAACGTTGTTAACAATGATTAAAAGTCACAACAGGGCAAATGATGTGCCAGAAAAATGAAGGCTTACCGCGTTAGGTCTCATGACCGTCTCTGACGAAGCGCGCTCAGTACTAGAAACCGGACTATTATCAGAAAGTATTATCATTATGTCACCTGCCCATCTGTGTTTTTCTATCGATTTATGTTCTTCTGAGTCCGAAGATGTGACAGATTTAAAAGATCGGAGCTGCGCAATCCGCCTAGGTATTGAGAGCGCCTGTTATATTTCAGAGGACAATGTCTTGCAGTATCGTTTAATCGGAAAGGTGAGCACAGATTTTAGGATCCTTCAGTTAGTCGGTGACTCCTTTGAGATGCCCGAATGCGAAAGCTGTTCTCCCTCTTTTGTCTAATTCCCCCTTCACGTCGTTTTCCACGTTCATTGATTGGTCAAGGATTACGTACGAGGTGGTCCTTACAATCAGAGAGTCATCCAGTTCAATTTGCTCGCCTCCGCACCATAGGTTTTTCATGAACTTGGTCTTCTTCTGATACATGCCTAGTTTCATCTTTTTTCCCGCTTCGTTGAGCTCATTGATCATCGCCTCTGCTTCGCTAGTACTTCTTGAGAAAATGACGATTTGGTCGGCAAAACGAAAGTTTGATAGAGTTTTCCAAGAATACTTTTGCCAAAGGTAGATCTTCGACTAAATCTCACAAAACCAATGCTCGTGAGGAAAGGATTGGTAACGTATACCCCATTCAAGCCGAATGGAATGACTATTTCCGAATGCTTCAGCAACCTTTATCTACGTCATGAAATTGATATAATGAATGACTTAGCTCCAGAGTTGAGCAGGAGGACTCAGCGGCTTGGAGACCTTTCAAGAGCATCGACGATTTAGTCAAGAGAACAAAGAACATCCGACCGCGTTCCCAACTTTTAACAACTCCACTATACCTCCTGCCTTGATGAATGCGTCAGAAACCTGGTAGCTGCTTAAGCAGGATGAAAGATCACTCATCGAATGCGCAGTCGAAAGGACAATGCTAAGAGTATCCCGCGTCACACAAATGATGGAGTGGCACCGCAGCTACAATCTGCGTCAACGATTAAAAAATAAAGATGCCAATCTGTAGGCCAAACATTCGGACGTAAGGTAGGCTAAAATGGTAATGCTTTTAAATGACAACAGATGAACAAGAGCTGTTAGTCACTGAACTACTCGGGATCTCGAACGTACTGCAGGAAGGTCACTAGGCTACTGTTGCACCCAAAAGAGAGAAATGCAAGAGCTACTAGCTCCCAATCGAGTCACTCGACAACCAACGAATCGATCCGCTAGAATTCCATGTAGTGCAGTCCTCTAGCGCGAGAATTATCTTCTATCTGCCACATCTGCCATCTGATTAGTGATCTGCCACAGCATATCGATGCGAGACCCATGTTAAAGACATGTTAACTACATTTGTAGAGACGAATTGTGTTCAGAAACGCTCGCCACAAGAGAAAAGTTAGCTGGTGATATAAATGAATGTTATAGGCTTCACCGGAGCTCTATGACTTTGACAGAAAGAACGCGTAACTCTGTTGCCCTGAACATTTCTTTCACATCTTTGAAACTCCACTAATGCTGTAGCCGTCCTCGGAAATGACGTGAAGCGAATGGTCTCGC